AATTCAACTCTAATGGCCATTTATATGTATAAAAAAATAGAGGACCAAGCCTCTTGTTTGTGGCCAAACATAAATCTGTCTTGAATATTATTGAATTATTGTTCCTTTATAAGGGAAACGTTGAACCTATCCCTTTTTGCCCTTCTTCAAAATCCACCCTTTCGATAAAATGTTCAGGTCTCAGTTTTATAAAAATATTGACGTCGATAGAAGTGTCAAGATCTAATTTTATAAAAATGTCCATAAAATATCGATAAAATTTTAATGTCAATAGATATTTGTGAAAAAATTATAAAAATTATTTAAGATAACAGATAAACATTTCACTCTTTTTTCTTTGGGTGGAGCTCACATTTTTCTGTCGGAGTGCACGTAAGAAAGTCTATCATCAGCATCCTTTCTATTCACTCTCCCCTTTCAAACATCTCCATGAACCGTGGAATCAACAACCTCAATTAATTTCTAACAACCTCAATTAATTTCTCATTTTTCTACACGTCTTAGACCTAGTCAACAAACATAATTCCATTATCATCAAGAGATCTTCTTCCGGTTGCTCGCCTCTAACACTATTGCACCACCAAAACTATAAACATCTGTGTTCTCGAGGAGTTATATTCATATTAGTTATATTTTGTTGATATATTTTTTGTTGACATTTTATCAATTTTTTGCAATTTATAATAAAAATTTTGATTCAATTCTCATGGTGACGTTGAAGTCATGAACATATAAAATGTTAAAGGATCCCACATTAAAAATATAAGTGACCTAACAAGGGTTTATAATAGATGTCAACTGGTTTTGAGATGAAACCTATGAATATTAATATGGTATCAGAGTCCAAAAGCTCAAACGAAGATCCGGCCAAAATCGATGAACCAAAAGAGCCACTATCTTGAGGGGTACGTGGAGGATCGATAAACTTAATACTTTGTACACAATACTTTTGTGACTAAAATTTTTAAATAGGTATTGAGATTTATTATTTGTAAGTTTCTCACCTTTTGCTTTCATGGAGTATTGGCAAGTGGTAGTATAAAAAAATTAGGATGGTTATTATGAAAATGGCATGGATTGTGATCAAAACAATTTTCAGTTTAGTTTGTGTTTGACATGCAAGTGTTTATAAAAATTGGTAGTATTGTGGAAAAAAAAGTGTTTTTACCCCTTAAAAGCACTTTCAAAAAATTTGATAATCATTTGAAAAAAAAATTCTAAAACCTAATCAATACCACTAATGCTTTTAGAGAAAACATTTAACTAATTTTCTTCTTTGAAAAAAATGTTTTACTTATTCTTTTTTTCTTTTCAAAAAGGTAGGCTAAATTAATTTTTATAGTGTTTGGGATGACCTATGAAAAAAAATGATTTTTAAATAAAACCCCTTTTTCAACACTTTTAGAAATTACTAATTTAAGATATGTTTAGTACAGTTTTTTGAGAGAACTAAAAGTACTTTTAAATAATAATAATAAAAAAAAAGATTGCTTTAACATTCAATTTGAATAAAAACCTAAAGGATTATAATTCAAAAAGTTATTTCAAAAGAAAACAATTAATCCTCTCTGGTAGTTTAGACACTTGAGAGAAGATTAGTAAAAAATAAAAGTGCAAAAAAGTACTTAAATAAAATCATATACCAAACTCATCTTAGGGGTGGTTTATTTCTTCAGAATCCAAAATTTCCTTGGGACGGATATCTGGACTCCCACATTTATTTTAGACGAATGTAGAATACCCAGGTATTTCAAGATGCCTTCGTATCATAGGATGCCCATACGAGTGGGCATCTAATGAGTTTTTGGTACCCTTTTCAAACATGAGTTTCCAAGATTCTCATGTTGAGGGCATTCACTCTTTATATTTTTGGCATTCATTGAGTTTTAGTACTTTTTGAAACAATTATATTATTAATAATTGTTGGTGGTGAATTCTGATCGAAGGTCACGTGTCCCTCGAACGAACAGTCCGGTCGAAGAACAAGAGAACTTCAAACCAAAGAACTTGACATCGGTGCGGTGTCCCGCCTAAAACACTCCGACGATCAAGTTAGTAATCAAAATAGAAATAGGAAAAAAGACACCTTAAATGTGAGTGGTAGGTTTTTCACTTACTTGGTGAGGACGAGAGTCATTCATTTTATAGCATTGGACGACCGACCAAAAAGGACGACGGTTAGAGGTGGCACGGACGCGCCGCACTGTATTGGGAGCGTCGTGGAGCATGCTCCCGACAGCCGTAGGGTGACCCCTCCTCTTGCAGCTCAGAGCTTGTCGCCTGCAGCTATGAGGCGTGCCCGTACGAGTCGCGTGCGCCTTTTGCTACGGTAACATACGGTGTCTCTGCTCGGGAATACCAGCTTACGGGGAGCAACCATATGTGGTCCCATGTTTCAAAGGCAAACACGTGTCTTGCTCGTTACCCCCAACAATAATATTTATTATCATAAATAGATAATTTTAAAGTAACACTTTTTTTACGACAACATACATGTGATATTTTTCCTCATAAAGTGATGATAAGAAAAATAAATTTCACCTAAGATAACATCGATTATATAATTGTCTTTTTGAAAAAATATTAAAGTTGAAAATAAAATTTATATTAAATTATTTATATTTGATGACTTGCCTTATTTGATTTGAATCAGTTGGAGGGGGGCGGGATGCCTTGGAGGGACCATAGATTGAACCGTTGGCAACGGCGCTTTTGAGTGCCCCTAACCTTGAGGGGGCCGTAGATCGAGTTCTGGGCTAAGGTTACCGCCCTTCAAAACTCCCTTCTGGAAAAGGTGAAGTAGATCGACCAGGTTACCGGAAATGACCAAAGAAAAAAATTGCCAAAAACTGCTACAACATAAAATGTTCATCCTTGCCCGACTAAAAGAAAGGGTTTGTGCTGCCTGCTCTAAAGGCTTTCCAAGAACTTCCTTGGGTGGGAAAGTCTAGACTAGAGCCGACGACTCGTGAAGAGATAAATCGTCAGAAGCAGACACCTCACGGTTGAAGGTATATGCCAATTACCGCTGAGCTATGTTCGCTTTGGCTAATATAATTTATTTTGTTATACACAATAACATGTGAAAAAAAGAAGAAAAACAAAACACTAAATTAATTAAAATAAATCTATTATATTAAATGAATGTAAATTATATGCATCCTATAAATTTAACACATTCCTAATAATAAATCTTGCAAAATAATCGTGATTATCTAAATATTCTCGAACATCCTTATAAATTTTCCTAAAGTGACTATCTTTTGAAAATCTAAAATTTGGGGCTTCTGTAATTCTAGACATCTAGAGATGTCTAGAATTACATTCCCGAAAAACAAACAGTTTAGAGCATAAATAATAGGGATAGAAATGAAAATTCAATTTAAAATCATTTTAATTTTGGTTTTAAAATCAGTTTTAATAATTATGGTTAGGTGGTTTGTAACGAGAGAAAAAAAAAGAATAAACGTGCGATTTCGTTTTTCCCTTTTGATTTACTGGCTTCTATTAGTCCTACGTGGCCAATTTCTATTTCCGGTAAATTATCATACAAAAAACTAAAAATTAAAAAATTAATGCCATAAAATCATTTTCTTATTATGGAAAACGACGTCATTTGCCTAATTAGAACCAAAACTCCTAAATTTTAATTTTACCCTCAAAATAACAGAGAAAAAAAAATAGGGGAATTTTTTTTTTCTTATAAGCCAATCAGGTGGTACCGAGTCTATGGAAGAGCAATTAAGGATTCTAGATCAATCAATGAGGCACCATACGATGTTGACACGTC